CAGAGCGACAGGAAGAGTCTCCAGACCTCAAGCAGGGCCAGGGCTCACCCTCACCCCCTCCTCCACATTGCATGGAGCACGAAGACCTCCACGCTGAACTGCAGTCTCTTGCTATCCTGCCAGGTCCGCAGGCCATATGAGGGGCCTATAGAGAGGTACCTGGGGGTCAGCCAAGGGGATCAGAGGGGCCATCAGCTCAGAGACTGACCTGAACAAGTTTCCTTGGCAGCCGTGGGAAGCTCACAGTAAAGGACCTTCTTGATCCTTAAGGCTACATTAAAGAGCCACATCTGCCTGTCCCACTGCTAAAGTTTGGGGACAGGTGTGTTTAGCCTGAGCAAAGGGCAAAGTTGCAAAGGCAGCCACAAGTAACAAGAGTCTCAGGCCACTGCCTCTACTCAATAGCCTGCACCTCTACTCACAGCCCAAGTGGGCAGGTTGAGAGCCAGGCAAGTTCGGGGCAGACACAAAAAAAGTTTGGCCACCAATGTGCTAGTACAGGACAAACCTCTGCACATGATTACAGCAATGGTGCAGGCAAGCACGATTCTGGAGAAGGAAGAGCCCTCTGCCCTCTGCCCCCCTTCTCAATCTCCCCCCGCCACCCCTAAAGTCCATGGATCCTGTCTGAAAACGAGGATGTGTATCCTCTGAGACCTATTAAAATACCGGCTCCAGGAGCCCACGCGCTCGACCCTGTAGAGCTTCATGTCCCAGCCCGATGCCCACTGAACGTGGTTTTCCAGGGTCAGCCATGAACAGAAGCCAGAGAAAATTGCAGAGGCCATAATGAAAAGAAGCCTCCCCTCTCCCCAAGCCTCCCTAAACAGACAGAGGTGACCGGGGGCAGAGCAAGCCTCACCTGTAACCTGCAGGAGAGCCTAGGATATGACTGAGCTGGGCCACATATTCCACCTTCCCCTACCTGGACACCCCTCTACATCTGCTTAAGGCGCCTCCTGATTTTAGAAAAGACTCCAAAGTTCTACTCCCCCATTTGGGGCTAAGTAAGGATAGTGAGTGCTGATGGAAGGCTTCCACACTGTGGGGTGCATCTTCTCATCTGTAGGATGAAGGTGGAGGTGTCTGGTGCATAAGTTCTTGGGGAGGCTGCAAAGCACAGTGCCTGGCACAGCGGGAGCGCTCCATCTGTGTCCTCTGTCATTTAACAACTCTTGTCGAGGAAGGGAGAGGGCACAGCAGAGGCCGTTGCAGTGCAAGATGACTGTGGGGGGGGGTGTGGGGGGAGGGGAGCAAGGCGGGTCCCTGCAGCAGGTACCATTAGAACTAGACCTAGAGGACTGAGAACCTTGGGCAACGGTGGGTGGGGAGGGCATTCCAGGAGGGTGGCAGGGCCTGAGCCAAGGCTCAGAGGCTGGATGTGCGGATACATCTAGGGAACAGCAAGGAGTTAGGGGAGGCAAGGACATAGGTGCAGGGAGATGCCACAGTGAAAGGCAAGGCTAACAAAGACCCGAGACCCTGAATACCAAGCTGAGGTGCTGAGACTGGAGGCTGGGGACGGTTAGGAGTCCTGGAAGGTGCTAGAACAGAAGTGACTTGGGAGAGCCATTCACCAACATGATCAGATCAGAAGTTCCTTATGCGTTGGGCATGTAGAGTTCCCACACGTACAAATAAGACTGTGGTGACCACCTTGAGGGGCATGTCTTCAGCTAATCATCCAAGTATCTCCTTTGAATACATTCTTAGGATTGGAATTGTTGGACCATATAATTGGCATAGTTTATATCTGTCAGGCAGCAAATGGAATGATTCAATCAATACCCTTGAAGTGAATGTCTCTTCCCACAATAATAGCTGATATTTGTGGGGCCTTACAGAGAGAGCCCCACAGATGCCAGATGCTTTGGGAGCTCTCAGTAGCTTCAGGAGATCATTGCAGAGTATTTTACAGTGAGGAAACCAAGGCTCAGGGAAGTTGGGTGATTTGCTCAAAGTCACACAATGAGTCAACTCTGCCTGCCCCTGACTCTGAATGGGCCAAGAGGCAGTGGAAAGGCATGGAAGCATGGGGGGCGAGGTGGGGAGAGAGATTGGGGGAGGTAGGGTTTTGTGAGCTTGGAGCCCCTGACTCCTAATTCAGCTAACAGAGTTGTAAAGAGCGAATGAGCCACAGGGTAGGAAATGCTTAGCACGGGGACCTGGCGATCCCTGGCTGGTCACTAAGATACTATTCTCAGCAACCCTGTTAGGAGGTGCTGCCTCTTCGTGGTGATCCTGAGTATTGCATGAACCTGGCCACTGTAGGGGCCCCAACTCCTGGCAAAGGCCACGAAGCTTCAAGGTGGGAAATCCCAACATGTGGTCTGCCTCCTCTCAGAAAGCAACTTCCCATCACACCCCCACGTGCCACCGCCTTTCTGGTTGATCTCTTTGTACCTGCTTCTCCACCCATCAAGTGGTTTAATATGAATTAGGACAAAACTGACAGTCACTCAGAACTGTCCCCCCGCCCCCGTCCAGAAAAGAGGCAGGATGAGAGTACTTCCCGCCTCAGCAGGGCTGGCTGTAGTGCACAGGGCCCATTTCAAGTTCCCAGCTGGGGCTGGTTACCTACTTGCCCACACTCAGCTGCAAAGGCTGACGGGAACTGCCAATCACAGCAAATCCCACATGTAGTTCAGATCCAGTAAAACGATGCTGGCATAGGTCAGGTCTGGAGCGCCCCAGCCTGGGTTGGAACGAAAACCAGACAAGAACAGCACAAGGCCCAGAGACACTGACAGGCTTACCCAAGGTCACACGGCATGAGTTGGAAGCAAGCACAGGTAGGGCCAGTTTGCCCGGAGCCCAGGGCTTGGGCCCTGCCCCCTTACCCTGCCTGTCTTCCCGCTCCCCCCAGAGGTGGTGTAGATGACAAAGGGAAACCGGAACCCTTGCCCTTGGGCCACTTTCTCCACTCAGCCAATATGACCCATCTATAGGAAGGAAAAACCAAACCAAAATTGCTGAAGTCAAGATGTCTGACCCCAGGGACGCAGTCACCAAGGAGACTGGGGGTGATGTGGAGGCTTGCGGACTAGCAGGAAAGCAGGAAGGGGTTAATGCAAGCTTGGCGTGAGGGATGCCCAGAGAAAAATCCTGCAGGCCCATGACAGGCAGCCCAGGCAGGCAAAGGGCAGGAGAGAAGTGGGGAGGGGGCAAACCTAGGGGTTCCACATTCAGGCTCTTGGGTGAGCACACCCGGTTCTGCCTCCGACTCATAGCAAGAGGAGCTCATGTGGGTGCCCACCTTGCTGGAGGGGCAGCCCCACCCAGCTCACCTTCCTCTTCCTGAGGGACTCCAGGTGGCAGGGACCAAGGCAGGCATAGGGGCTCTGGGGGTGCTCATGCCTGGCTGGACAGCTGACCCGAATGGTGGAAGACAGCAACGGGGCTGTTCACAATGTCTAGATGGGGGTGCGCAGACCAGGTCAGGAAAGAATTCCACCATATTCCCAGAGATCTGAGGGGACAGCAATCTTCCCAGAGATCTGGGGGGACACCAGATCCCTCCTGGTGCAGGAAGCCAGAACGGCTGCGTCTCAGCTTGGCCCTGGTCCCAGTGTCACTTGCCCTGTTGGGCCTGTTTTCTGTCTGAGTCTTGTTCAAGTTTCGTGCCCTGCTAAAAACCCTGTTTTGCTTAGAGAATGATGCTCTAACTTGCATCCAGTGATAGACAGCGGGCCTTCCCTTTTGTGAACCTTACTTTCCTTATTTGGAAACAGGGGTGATAGTTCTACTTCCCCGAGGGACTACGGAGGATGCTAAGAACAAATGCAAGTCAAGGCATATGTAATCAGAGGCTAGATGACAAGCCTGCCTCCTACCCCCAACTGCTACCCGACTCAGCAGCAACTCAGGCCTGTGCTTCTTTTAGAGAAGGAAACTGAGACACAGAGAGGCTGTGGCCCACTCCAGCTCTGCCCCACTCCCCCGAAACTCCCACGTACCCCCAGGCTCCTGGCAGCCTTGTCCCTGTGAACCTCACAAGTCAGCTGAAGCCACAAGCTTTCAATAGGGGAACGAAAATCACGTGGAATGAAAACCATGCAGCTGGAAAGGACAGGGTTGAAGAGGGGCATGCAGGTGGCAGGGCACAGGTGGCAGGCAGCAAGCTGGAGCTCCCTCCTCATTGCCACGAGGACATCTGTCTGAATACATTCCTGCTGTGCCCTGGCAGTCCAGCCAGGCTGGCATGGCTAGAGAATGGTGGACAGTGTGGACATGGCCAACAGGGGCTGCCCGGAAACCTCCTGTATGCTCCTGCCTTCAACCATTGCATCTCCAAAATGGAGCTGGGAGCAGGAAAAGGTATGCGCGAGTCGGGAAAGGGGGTGTCCCTCCTCCCCATGCCCCCCAGGCAGGCTGTCCACAGACCTTGTCCCCGCCAGCCTGGCCTGAGAATGCCTGCAAGTCCCTTGTGTGAGAACCTGCTCTGTGCCAGGCGTCGGTCCATGTGCACCCCGGTAGGTAGCTCTTTACAATGTGGGACCACCAGTGGGGCAACCCAGGCCAGAGGGGACCTGCAGTAGGACAGAGCTGAAGAGAAACGATGGAAGGGACATAGGGACTGTTGTGAAGGATGCTCAGGGACAGGATGTTGCCCAGAAACTGACTTGCGGCTGGGGGCAGGACTGAGTGAGAGGGACCTAGACCCAGAGCTCCCCGCCCCGCACCCCTTCCTCTTCTCCACAGTGTCTTCTGGGAGCCTCAGGTGACACTCATATGGGGGTTGCCTTCATCTCAGGCACCTTCAGGCTCAGGTGGAATCTGCCTGACAGGCTCCCCCTCCCAGAAGTGTGGATGCTTAGGAGGCGTGCCCAACCCCAGAGGAGACTGGCAGCACCAGTGATGGAACCCCAGTCATGGGCAGGAGAGTGTTGGTGGCCAGGCCCAGTGTAGTCACAGCGGCTAGAGAACTCAGCCTCCACCCCTGACAGCCCTCAGCCCTGCTCCCTACCCAACAGAAAAGGAGAAGAAAGCTCAATCTCATGAAGATTTATTGGGTCTGGGGGAGGGCCTGGCCAGTGTCTGCCCCAGGGCTGTCCTGCCCTCCAGCCAGCCCCAGCACCCCTTGCATAGGGATGGGGATGGGCTGGCTGTGGCATCAGTCCTCAGGGCCCTACATTACTGTGTTTCTCCACGTGCCTGCTGCTCCTCCAGCCAGGGGTGGGGAGGATAATAGGATGGGGAGACTCAAATCCCTAAAGACATCGTATGGGTGACTAGATCTAGCCATGCCTGAAAGCAACACAACTCTGGACTTTTTCAGTTTCACAAGACAATTTCTATTTACTTAATCCAGTTTTGGCAAAATTTTTCAAAACCTACCCTCCTCCAGGTAAACCTCCTCAGGCCTGCCTTTGGTTCTTCTGGAACACTAGGTTTCTTTCTGGGAATTGACTTGTCCTGTGTCCCATTCCCTCCAGGTACCCACTCCCCCACCTCTACTGCCAAAGTTCCTGCCAGCCCATGTGACAAGGACATTAGCTGGTTTGACTCAGCCAAGCTGCTAGGACTCCTGGTTCAAGTGATCTTGACTGTAGTTCTTGGCCTCTCTGGGCCTCAGTCTCCTTACCCTCCTTGGGAGGATGTTATTTTCCAGACAAAAGACAGGACTAGGCCACGCAGGATCCACTCCCACTCAGTATCACAAATTCCACTGAAGCAGATGGGGTTCAGTTTCCACCTGTCTGTGACTCACTGCAGCTGCTGCTTCATACGGCCTTTGTCTCAGTTTCTGTCCAGCTCAAACTCACTTCAGATGCCAAGGCCTCATGCACCTGGGAAACAAGTGCCTGCATCCCCAGGCAGGAGGAAGTTGGAACAAAGCAGGGAGTAAGTGAACCCATAGGCCAGGTGCTGGGTGGGGTCAGGAAGAGCTGGGCTTCTGCACTGCAGGGTAGAGCTTGCGAAGGCTGGAGTCCAGGAGGAAGTCCACAGACCTGTGGGGCAGGAAGAGTGATAGTCAGGCAACCCAGGGGTGCTAATGGGGGAATTGGAGGCAGAAGGTCAAGGCTAAGGGGAGGGATGCTTAGATGCAGGACACAGGCCCCATCTGGGTGACAGCCATCATCCTCTGCTTTATTCACTTGGGGAAACTGAGGCACTGAGCACTGAGGCACTTCTCCCAGTCTATATTGGTCTACTTGGATTGACCCTACCTCTGGCTCTAAGAACAGGCACATGACCCAGGCTTGGCCAATTGGAAAAGGGAAACTGGCTCAGGAGTGGGTACCCTGTCCAGGATGGACCAATGACAACCTTCTTTAGGATTTTTGCTGTCACTATTAAGAAGCTTCCCATGGGGCTTACTAAATTGGTGGATGGAAGCTGGGAAGTGCTGGGGGCATCTCTACTCTCACAAGGGGAAAGTGAGGGGAGGGGAGCCTCAAATCCCTAAAGACATTATTTGGGCGCCTAGATCTAGCCATGCCTGAAAGCAACACAACTCTGAACTTTTTCAGGTTTACAAGATAATTTCTACTTTACTTAACCCAGTTCCAGCAAAACCTTTCCAAAACTACCCCCTCCAGGTACACCTACTCGGGCCTGCCTCTGGTTCTTTTGTAACACTAGGTTGGTTTTTTTTCTGGGAATTGACTTGTTCTGCATCCCATTCCCTCCAGGTACACTCTCCCCCACCTTTGCTGCCACAGTTCCTACTAGATCATGTGACAAGGACATAGGCAGTCCTTTCTACCTCAGGAGCACCAAGCGCCAGCCCCGCCTCTGCTGACATGGTTCTGTACAAAGTGCACGCACCCCACACTTTCCCTGAGCTGGGAAGGGCACCTACCTGTCAATGGGGTGGATGATGATGGGGATTGTCAGCAGCCCTAATGCAGTGGTGGTCCACTTGCGGATGGCCAGTGGCCAGCGGGTGGCAGTGCCCAGGACGTAGAGAGAGGCAGCACACACACGGTTGATAGTGAAACCTGGGATGGCCACAGAGGCCAGAGCCTGCCACACAAGGGTATCCACCACAGCCACAGTCACTCTGGTGGTGCGACCTGCTTCAGGGCTCGGCACCTGCCAGGAGCAAGAGACAATCCACATGGAGCAGAGGGAGGAAACCCTGCGGACAAGGGGAGGCTGGGCCAGTGAGGGGCAATGACAAGACCACGCCAGTGGTAGGTTCTGGATTACACCACATTTAGGGTTGGGGATGGACTGCACCCAGTGACATCGTAGGGAGTGGACAGTCCAACTGGGCTTTATCACATGCAGGGCTGTGAACTGAACCACAAGGGGAGTGGACTGGGGTGGGGGGTTGAGGCTGACACTCACCTCTCCTGCCTTCTTGCCCTTGTCAATGGCATCTCCCAGCACATAGGAGCTGGACACACCGTAGCTCAGCCACACCACAGCTGATGGCACAAGGGAGCGGAAAGCCTCCCCCACTTCATTGGCGTAGCCTAGTTGGAAGGGGACATTTAAGTCAGGGACCATAAGAGGGCACTAGAGCCAGCTGGTTCTACCCCCAGCCTGCTAAGCAGGAACTGGGTGGCCTCATACATGTAACTTTACCTCTCTGAGCCTCAGTTTCTCATCCTATAAAATGGCACCCATGATGCCTCCCTGATTCTAGGGCATGATGGGGAAAGCGGTGGGAGAGCTTTATTGCATAGTCAGCATCGCTACTCGCCTCCCCAGCCAGGGTTTCGGAAGCACAGGCAGCAAGAGGCAGCATAGGTACTGGCAGCAAAGGAGGCTGACCAAGGGCAGCCTCCCAGCATTGTGCAAGGGCACTAACCAGGCACTCTCCATGTGCCAAGCCTTTCTGTACCTTTTTTCATCCCCTTCCAACTATCACCCCATGATGCTGTGTCCATCCCTTTCTGCAGAGGAAACTGAAAGTGGATACAAGCAATGAGGGGTGCAAACACCCTGCCTCCACAGCCGGTGGTCCGTGGTCGGTGTGGAATGACAGAGAGGTAACCCCTCACCCTGTGCCTCCTGGTAAGGTTCAGCTTCCACCTGGGAGGCTGGACCAGCAGGGCTGGGCTGCCCAGAGCGATGTGACCTTGTGGCAAGTCCTTAGCCCACTCTGAGCCCAGTCTCCTGACCAGCAGACACGAACTAAGATCCTCCCACCCCCTCCAGGCCCCAGACCCGCCTTCGGTGACCGCTGCTACCGTGGTGGGGGGCGGTCACCGCGGCCCTCGCCCAGCGCTCACCCAGGTATCGCACCCACGTGTCTCGGAAAAGGTCGCGATCTGCCCTCGGTGGGTGCGGCTCAGACATGGCTCTTCCACCACGCACCCGGCCGACCCCTGCAGCCTGCCCAGTCGCCGCTGCTGCCTCGGCTTCCACCAATATACCTGCTCGTGGTGGCAGACCCGAATGAAGGTCCCGGACTGAAGGACACACGTCGTTCCGTCCCCGCCAGCAGGGAGCGTCTGCAAATTCCCCCGCGCACGGAAGCCCCTCTGCTTTGGGAGCTCACACATTCATCTTCTTCACATTTGCGCTGAAGGACGAGCGAGTGGCGAGCCTCTCCAGGACGGACTGTAGTTTGGAAGCCAGAGAGACCCCGGTTCAAATGGGGGATGCTACACCTCCAACCTGTGTGACCTCGGGGAGGAGCCTAGAGTTCTCTGAGCCTCCGTTATTGGTTCGTTAAACAGGGAACGCGACAGCGCGCGCCCTGGGGCGCTGGCGAGGGTGCTGGACCGTCGTCGCGCGTTGTTTTCACCAGCAGGACTGTTCGCTTAGGGCTCTAGACGGATCACTTCCTCTCACCAGCCCAGAACCCCCATTTTATACGTGAGGAAATAGAGGCCCCAAATGGGTCACTTTCGCAGGTCTTAGCAGCTGTCAAGTGGTGAGGTAAGAATTTGAATCCTGTGGCTGTGTGGCTCCAGGTCCCGCCCTCTTAAGGCGATACCAATAAATGAGGCTGGGGGAGTGAATGGGGAACACCCTGGGGGATGGTTGTTTAGGCTCTGGAGTCCCTTCCTGCAGATGCCATGTTCATCTTTCCAAGCACTAACAAGATCAGCGTGCCCCAGCCCCAGCCCCTTGGGGGCAGCAGGTTGAATGAATGAATAAAATTCAAGGAAAATCGGGTTGGAATGCAAGACTCCAGGGGAATGGGCAGAACAGAATGAGGGGACTTGGGGGTTAGTGATTATGTACCGAGGAAGAAACTCGGCTCCTGCTGGACCTCAGTTTACCCACGTGAAGCAAAGCAGCGCTGAATCCTCTGTGTGTGGGGAGAGGCATCAGCCAAGGAAGGACGCGGCTATTAAGACAGGCAATCTTGGGTTCAAATCCCAGTTATGCAGCCCATTAGCTGTTGGGCCCTGAGGCCCAGCGCCCACGTCTGTAAACACAGCCGTGCGCTTATTTGTAGAGGGCTCCGCGCTGTACCACGCGCTTTGCATGTGCTATTTCCTTGACTCTGCAACACGCGCAGGCGGTCAGCGGGTTTGCTGCGTGGCACCGTCAGTAGCTCATTGAAGAATTGCATTTTATTATCATCAAATAAAGACCGAGGAAACGCAGACCACTGAGTTCCGTTTTCAGTCCTGGGCGTCTCTGTCACTGCAGGGTCGTGTCGGGCAACCCCAGCAGCGGAGATCTCGGAGGAAAATAGGATCCGGGTCCAAATTGATCCCCAGACCCTGACTTGCCGGCAGTGCTGGCACGGAATTCGGAGACGGTCCCTAACACCACGTGATCGCTGCTCCTCGGCCCCCCCCCATTCAGGGCCCACCACTGGCGCGGCGCGCTCGCCACACTCGCCCTCGCCCGCGCTGGTGAACCACTCCGGGCGCAAAGAGTTACGCTAGTCGGGCGGCGCCTCTGCCCTGACTGTGAAGGCGGCCAGGAGGTCCGTTGGTGACCTTAGCAAAGATGGCGGAAGGCAGCCCCCCCCCCCCACCCACCTGACCAATCAGGACGCAAGATGGGTGTCGGCCCCAAGGGAAAGCGCACGCGCTGGAAGGGCGCAGGTGGCGTCTGCGCATGCGCCCCGCCCACTGGCGTAGGTGTTGCCAGGCTGCTGAGGTGGAAGTTTGGGGCTGTGAGGGGCGGCGAGCTGCGAGGCGGTGGGCATTGACTTCCACACCCGGCGCACTGAACGTTGCTTTATTCATTGGTTAATTTTCCTAACAGAGCGTTGTAAACCCAGGTCGGGATCTGTGGGGTCTGGCTGGGGGCCTGTGCGGCCTCGGGTCCCCTGCCCTTGGCGCCGGCCCTACCCCTACTCCTGCCCGGTCGGTCGGCGTCGCTAGACCAGCTGCCCAGGCTGGGCCGGGGCCTGGATCTGAGTTCCCGCGAGCGCCCAGGTTAGGCCGCTTTCTCATGTCCTTTGCAACCCAGGACCCGGTGTTCTTTTGCGGAATATGGGGTCGAATTAAGTACTTGGTTGCCTGCGATGGTGGTGCCGTCCAGCTGGTGGCTGCGCTCCCCCATGGTCATCCCTGCTTGTGTGAGAGACTATTTGTGGTTGTCACTAGCTCCTGGCTCCACCAGATGCTGAACGGGCTTTTTGGTCCATCTGCCAGGGCAGCCAGCCTGCCTTGCGCGCACGAGGAACCCACTGCACGTGCCCTAATCCCCGCATAGAGATGGGATTGCTAAGGCCCTGCTCAGATCAGCCAGAAAGCGGCCTGGTGGACACAGTGAGACACACAGACGGGGAAGTACCCTCACTGATTTCTGTCTTGTTTTTGTCTGGGGTGCTCAAATGGAGAGTTATTTGGTAAGAGGCTGGAAGCACTGAAAAGGGGAGTGGACAGAACTCACGCCCACCCCTGGCCTCTGTGGTCCTTCATGGAACTATGATCCCTGGAAGTAATTTCCCTGTGCTTTTGTTTGCTTTGGAGGACAATGCTGGGTACCAAAGCTCACTGTCTGTCTCAGAAAGCTCTGAGTCACTGATAATCATTAGTAATTAAAGAGGCAATCAGTGGAGCCCAGAAGTTACTGAAGTTCTCAAGATGGGGAGGCCTGCCTGTCTGCCCCTGGATGGGAAGATCTTTGCTGACTTGGGCCATCTCTCAAGACCTGGGAAGAGCCAAAAAGATCCCAGCCCCGGTAATAGAAAGTTTAGGAGAGCCTCTGACCCCCACCATAATTCTAGCAACAGTCTACCTTGCTACTCCTCATTATGATTTAGACTTAAACATGCTCACTTGGGAGCAAGTTCCTCCTCTGCTACTGGCATCCCTGAAGTGTTAGATCTCAGTCTCTCCCCTTTCTTCTAATTTCTTCCCTGCTGCCAACCTGTGGTACCCCTCTTCCTATCTTAACTGTTACTTGACAGGTGAAGTTGGCACAGCTCACAAGACAGATTTTATCATGGTGCCCAGCCCCTGGGGACTCCTCAGTAATTTGAGAGACAAGGAGTCCCACTCCTGCGATTCTGTCTCTTCCTAATTCTGAAATAAAAGTTCCCCAGATCCAGCCTGAGGTCATTTTTCCAGCCCAATTTCTTCAGGCTTCAGGGTGCTGAGGAAATGACTGCTACAAGGGATAGAAACTGACAGGGAGACACCAAGGGAGCCAGGCCTGCTGTGGGAGGAGGCATTACTTTGGGGTGACTGCCCCCAGCTGACTCATCTTCTCTTCTGAGGCTTTGTCTGGAAGCAGGACCTCCACAGTGAAACTGACCTTCTTGGCATGAATGAAGCTGTAGGTGTTATCAAACCGCAGGACATCTGAGGGGAAGCAAAAAACCAGTCAGGCAGTTCTGACTAAGAGCTTATGGACAACAATTTCTGTTGACTTAGCAATATCACCGAGTATGGTAGGTGATGAGGATGAAGGTGGGATAAGCAGTCTCCTTCCTTTTGAAACTTAGTCAAGCCCGTCTGAGAAGACATTCATAGAGAGAAAAAAATGAGAATGTGCCAAGTGCCAAATGAGTGGCAGATGACTGTATCAGTTTAAAGGAAGGGATCCTTATAGACTGTTAAAGACTTTAGGGGAGTTGGAGGTTGCACTGCTCCTTCAAAGGAGAAGCAGAATTAGTAGCAGCAGCTGTTATAATAATAAAAGTAATGGTAACGGGCCTCCCCGGTGGCGCAGCGGTTGAGCGCTGGGTTGCGAAGCTGCCCGCGGCCTCTGAGGCGCCGGTTCGATCCCCGGCTGCTCCCCGGCCACCGGAGGAGGGTCCCACATGGCGCGCAGACCTCTCCTGCCGCCCGCTGCTCCCCTCAGCAGTGTCCTTCGGTCCTTCTGCCTGCTCTGCTCCCCGCTCTGGCTCTGGTGAATCCTCTCACCCTCCCGCGCTTCTGACTGTACCCCGTGCTTGTATAAATAAATAAATTAAACCAAAAAAAAAAAAAAAAAAGAAACTTTCTAAAAAAAAAAAAAGTAATGGTAACAATGGCTGCTTAGGTGTCTGAGCCCCACATTGGTAATCTGTATCTATTACTTCACCATTCCTCAAAATAACTGAGTTCAGCATTAGTCCGATTTTATATAAAAAGGAGGTCACTGTGTCACTCAATGAGGAAGTGATAGAGCTGGAATTTCCCTCGGTTACCATTGCTGCCTGATTTGGGCCCTGGAAAGTCTGACTGCTCAGTTTCTGACACACTTTTAGAACCAGGAATTTATCCTACAGAAAGATAAATGGGCAAAGATGCTCACTATAATACTTCTTGTAATAATAAGATTAGGTAAAACCAGATGTTCAAAAGAGAATAGCTTGAAACAGTTTATATGGCCATTGTAGGACAAAATATTCTGATATGAAAAGGACTGGAAAAACTCTACAGTGTATCCTTAGACCAAAAGAGCAAGTTACAGAACAATTTGTAAACAGTTTCTAACATGTTTGTTAATTTTCACACTAGGGGCAAAAATGGCTTGATCCCTGGACACGCCCAAGGTGCTATCTAAAGGTAAAGCTTTTCTCAATCTGTGACAAGTTTCAAATTTCCTTCAATACTGAATTAACATATCATTCCTGTGAATATATACTTGTGTGTGTATATTTCCTATATATAAAGAAACAATGCTTATAAAGGGATAAAAAACATTTAATAGGATAAAGGACTTATTAGCAGTTCTTTCCTCCAGGGAGAGAAAATGGGCATGCAATTGGCAGGGAAATCTTCCAAACTTTGGCCAAGAAACAGACTGCTTTTACTTGAAACCCCCCCCCCCTTTTTTAAAGTTGTTCAAGAAAAGGGAGATGGAAATAAAAACACTAGCTCTGCTCCTTCTCTCTCTCGGTCCTCTTCCTGCCACAAAACAAAACAAAAACTGTGTATTTAATCCTAAGAGTTAACCTTTCCCCTCTCCTGCTCCTGAATAAAATACATAGTTTAGATCTGGGGTGGGCACATCAACCACCCCTTTCTTCAAGATGTGCAGTAAGTATTAGTCATTGCTTTCCTCTCTGAGACAGAAATCTTTCAGAGTAAGTGGTCCCTCTGGAAAGAAGCTTCCTCTCTGCACTAGGTGACAGGGTCTTAGCAAGCAGTCATGCTGGAGAAATCTTTGAACTCCTTAGACCAAGAAACAGGACTGAGATGGCTCTGCCTGAAATGACATTCTGCTGTCAGAAACAAGGAAGGGGCTGCTCCGAGGCACAGGCCTGTGGGAAATGGAATTCGTGAACCTTATGGCTCATTTTGACAACAGAACCCCAAGAGGTCATCCCTGGCTAGGGCTCTTAACTTTCGTTGGGGAACTCGCTGCACCCTTGAGAATCTGCGGAAAGCACACTATTTCAGATCTGGAGCCCATCACAGACCTGCCGGGGCAGTGCTTTCAATGGCAAAGGTACCATTCTGAAGGAAGGGTAAGGATGGGTATAATCATGTCCTCAGATTTATGTTTTAATTTTAAAAGTTAGCATCCTTTTATTTCTCTTATATCAGAGAGGAATCTATCTTGATTTTTAAATTATGTGTGTAGGTGCATTTTCTGTGAATTTCATTTCAGAAAAAAGACATTGTGTAACTGGGTGGTCCTCAGGAAAGGGGGAGGTTCCAGGTTTCCTGCCCCACCCAAAAGGAGGGTGGAGCTGAGCAGGGAGAGAAGCCACAGAGGAGACTGTGGGATGAAGGAAGCAGGATGGAGCCAGGAGGAGACCTGGAGGAGGCACAGGGAGCAGAGAGACATGTGAAGAAACTGCGCTTGCCTTTTGGTCGTGGACGGGGTGACACAGATGTGGGTGAGAGACCCATGGGGAGGTGACAATGGCGGTTTTTGTCTTGATTTTGAATTTGCTCTTTTCCGTCCATACTTGTCTGGTTGTTTCTGATCCTTCTTTGGGTCCCCACTGGAAGATGCTTTAGACTTATGGCAGGCTTTGGGGCCTTGCTCTGGGCCAATTCCGCTTGGGTGGACTTTTACCCACGAGGGGTCGGGTAACTTTGGGTGCTTGATTTAGAAACTAGATTCCTTGCCTTACCTGTATTGTTTCCTAATTGTATTAAAGTTCCTTCCCATTAAAGTCTCCTATGTTTTGTGTTGATGTGGTGGATGGCAGAACCTATTTAGAGCAGGCAGGTTTGTGGGGTCTGGGGTGCCCCTCTCCCTGCCCTGTAACAATTGCACACTATTTGTTATAAAAATGAAGTGTTGCTTTTAAGTTTAGAATTGCTCTGGGGAGTCACAGACCCCAGATTAACATCTCCTGCACTAGCCCACTCACCTTGTTTTAAGGAAGAAGCAAGCAAAATCAATTATTTGGAGATACTTGCTCAAAATACTCAGAATCAATGGCAATAGGGGGTTCAGAAACCAGGCCTTTTGGTGCCCAGCTGGGAGCTTAGCTCAGCACTACCTGGCAGAGCTGTTTAACCTTCACACAATGCTTCAGGTCTTCTAAGCCATTTTGTGCACTCCTGGCAAAATCCAGATCTTTTTTTCTCATCTTCTTTCTACACTGAGTTGCTAATACTAGTTAAGGGAAAAAAAAAAAAGTGAAATCGATTTAGACTTTGGTTCTCATCGGTAAGTAAGCACTTGGCAATGACCACTTGGGCAAAGACCAGGGCAGCCTGGGGCTGGCTAATGTGCTTTTCCCATTGGAGGTGGCCACAGAGTTTTAATTTCTCCACTGAGTGATTATGTTCCACTTCTCAGGGAACCTATTGGTTCTCCCCCAAGTGAGCCTGTAACCTAACACGGGGTTCTGTGGGCTCTGGCCGGAGCCCTGGCCCCAGACGACAGCTGCTCCCACTTCATTGTCTTTATACCTGGGGAGGGCCCACGGTTGCTGAGGCCTGCCTTTGCTCCTGTGAATACACAAAAAGCAGGTGGTAACCAAGGCCCTGCAGGCAGATTCCATCTAGTAATTGATCCAAGAGGAGCTAAAATTCTGGGCTTTGCAAACCTAAACCTAATTATGTTAAAAGATTCCTGGTCTTTTCTCAGGTTGTGTCCTTCAGGTACTATAGGGGGTTAATGGGCAATGCTAGAAAATGGGGTGGACTCTATACTGGCTGTATCATCTTGGGTAAATTGCATCCTGGCCTGGGAGTCCATTCTGTCACTAAGAGTTCCTGCACCAGGACTCTATGATTCTCTCATGTTTTATCTTTTGGGGTCTACGCAAGCTACTTTGTGGGAGAGAGAATGTTCCTTTTCTATACCTCAGCTCCTCCCCATTTAAAAAACAAAATCAAGCTTGTGTGTGTGCAATCCTTTATCCCTGGTAGATGACAATGCCTGGGCTGGTGCTAAGCCTTGTTGCCCCTGAGCACATAGTACAGGACTTCTCCCTGGGGCACTAAGCTGCTTGCTAATGAGAATACTTCTCCCCAGGGAGCCATATCACAAAATGTCTTTAAGGAAGGGGCAGTAGAGACTGAAGGCTGCCTGGGATGTGGGGAGGACACAGTGTGAGGTTGGGGTGACAGTGTGGACAAGCACAGAGGCTAGTTCTGATCTGGCGATGCTGCTGTAGAATTGGGGCACAGCACAGAAAAAGGCCCTTCCCCAGGCCTTGCCCTAATAATAATAATAGCTACGGTGTGTTGAGTGCTTGCTGTATGCCAGGCATTATACTAAGTGCTGTACAAGCCTTATCACCTTGAGTTATCACGTGTCCTTATGAATTAGAGAATTTGATCCCCATTGTAGCCATCAGGACACTGAAGCTCAGCGAGGCTGTCACTTGCCTAAGCACTAATCAGTATCAGTCCAACTCAGCTCAGTGATAAAGCCCTTGCTCTCATTGATTTACCCTCCCTGGTCCCCTGCTTGGGTAGAAAGAGAACTAGAAAGGCAAATACCAGATGGTTTTACTCATATGTCAAATACAGAGAAAAAGAGTCAGACAAAGCCAAATCAAAAACAAATCTGCACAACTACCAATGGGGGAGGGGAGAGTGGCGAGCAAAGGTAGGAGGGGGCCCAGAGTACTGTGGTGGACTGGGTGCCTTGGCAGTGGGTGTGGTGTGGTAACATACATCTGAAGAGGCAGCATCCTGTATTTTTGAGTCACATATAGTATCATAAGCCAATGTCACCTGCATATTTAAAAAATAATGGAAAAAAAGGAAAACTGGAGATACGGTGGGGTTTTGTGTGCCTATGTGATTTTTCAGCTTATCCCTGCAGTACATGATAAAATAAATTATAGCTGCAGAACCGGTATAATAAATGAAAGCCTTCTGTACATTTTCTACCATCCTAGAGATAACCACCACTAGAGTTAGCATAGATGCCCCAGAGTTATTTTCTATTACACACTTACTTTTAACCAAAGTGAATGTATACCACTTAATGCTCTGCTTCATGCTTCATTTTTTTAACATGTATCAGACATCTCACATGTCAATTTGTTCTCTTTAATGAGTATATTTATGCCGTGTATGGATAGATCAAAATTTTTTATGACCTTATTATAGTTACTTATTTTGTTGCCAGTTTCCTAGACAGCTGGGAATATCCTTATATCTATATTTTTTTATGTATTTGTCTAAATATTTCTGTAGGATAAACTTCCGAAAGTAGAACTGCTGAATTAGAGGGCATTTTAACAGATACTGCAAAGTTGAATGAGCATAAACACCTTTTCAAGTGCCTATTTGCCATTCTTATGCCTTTTGGGTAAACTTCTGTCCACACGCTGTTGATTTTATGCTCAACCTGGAGATGAGTAGAGCTCAGAGGGGTCAAGGCTGGGCTTTTCAGCTCTCTGCTCACCCTGTGATCCCTGCACCCACCCTGCGATGCCTGCACCCACCCAGCCAGTTCTGCCTCTCTGATGTCTGCAGAAGCCCCAAGAGATGACTAGTCACAACCACAGATCCAGCTGAACCTGGACCAGATAGCAGAGTTTCTGAACCTGTGTGACCACCTAGCACTGTGACTCACCTTTACCTGGAAACATCAAGTCAGAGGCCCTCCCTAGCTGGGTCATTTTCCCTCTCCAAATGGAGTCTTCCTCAATGCAAAGAAAGGGTTGAAATTCCAGTTCTAAAGCTGAGACCCTAAGACCATGGAGAAAGAGGGGCCTCACAGGCAGAAGGCTAGGGCAGGGGCATCAAAGCATTGCCAAGACAGAGATACTTACAGATGCCCGGGTCGTTGCAGGTGAAGGTCCCATCCTCAGGGACCAGGTGGGCATTGTACCTCTGGTTTGATAGCACCTCTGTCATCTCCCCTGCCCGCTGCCGCTCCCCCATCTTAGTCTTTAGGAAAATTCCGAAGCCGATGTCCGCCCCCTCTGATGCAAACTGCCACCTGCAAAGGGCAGACACCCATTCAAACATGATTGTTTTGCCACCAGAGATTCTTATACCCCAACTGCACCTACTGCTAAAATGATCAGATATCTCGGAAGGCCCAGGTCCCTACCTGAGGACACAGCCAGGGAAGAGGATCTCATACTCCACTTGGTGAGAGGAGCCACGGGAAATCTGCACACTGTGCTCGTACTGCTGTTTCACCTGATCGCGCACATAATACTTCTTGGGGATGTCACCCCCATAATTGATCTAGAAGCAGAGCATGAAGTAAGCTGGAATGCACATTCGAGCCAGATTTCCCAGGCCTCCTCCAGCCCCTGGCCACCCATACCTTGGATTTGCACTTGGGGTTTCCATCAGGGTCAGTCATGGTACCCCCATACTCCACGGGTATCTGGTCAGGGCTGATATATTTCAGTAAAACCTCCTTCCAGTTCGCTGGCAGGGGAGGAAAAGAAGGAGGAAAAAAGGTGATGATTAGGCAAGGTTTCAGCCCAGCCCTGGCAGCCTGTACAAAAGCAGCAGAAAAAAAGCCATCTGTGCCCCCTCCCCTAAAACATGGATATTAGAAGTCTATGGTGTGTGCATAGCTCTGCAGGTGGGTCAGGAGGCGCTATCACCCAGAGACTGCCCTGCCCTGGACCAGCTGTCAGGAGACCTGGGTCCGGTCCCCACGGCCTCTGGCCAGTTGAGCAACCATAGGCAACCTTTATTCTAAGCCTGATCCTTCTGCCTGCAGGATTCTGGTGGGAGTGAAGCAAACTAAGCACTTGAGAGGGTTTTGTAAACTGTAAAGTGCTCCACACAAATGAGAATGAATCATCACCCCCAGGAAGGTGATACAAACATTTGAAGTGCAAGCAGGAGGGAACAAAGAAAGGCATTCTCTACAGCATGTGCACAGGCAGGAGGATCTGAATAAAATCTGTCCTGGTTAAACTGAACTCTGTGAGGACACAGATGTGCATGTCTTGTCCCCCCACTTCCTGTTCAATCGTGACTTACTAAGTGCATCACTGGAAAGGAACCTTAAATTAGGGTTCCCCTGGCTTTACCCCAGCCACAATTTTACTTCTCATGTTTGAGACTGTTTAGCTGCCAATGATTGGGCTCTTGTTTTTAATTATAGCCAAGTCTTTTCCTGACTGGGAGTGTTTGACTTTAGCACAAACAATGCTGAGAACGACTATTCCCAAATTTCTAAACAAATATCAGCCAAGGACAATATTTTGATACTGGAAACCTTTCCATGCTGACTATATAGTCCATATATAGGCAGCAATTCCAAGTCATGGGGTTCAACCCAGTCTTCTCTGCTGCTGGGGCTGGCTAGAAACCCATAGAGACTGTCCTCGGTCTCCTTGTCCTTAGATTTCTAGGGCCTGAGACCATGAGTCCTGGAATAGGGCCCGGTGGTCTTTGTATGATTTAATCTGTGCTGCTAAACTCCAGTAACCAGCCCGGGATCAGTTTCTCTCCTCTCCCATCAAAGATCCTGTACCTTCTCTGCCCAAGGTGGGTTTGGTTGAAAGAGTTTCAGGTGTGGGAGGGAGAACAGACTGAGCCTCCTCCACAGCTCTGCTGCCCAGAAACCTCACCATCTCATGCTCGTGGTGGGTGGTAGCAGCAGAAAAAACAAGTCATCAGAGCCTTTTGCTCAGATTTTGTATTTCTTCCTCCAGCTCAGCTGAAGCATTGGGATGAGGCCAGCAGGATTCTTCCCATCTTACAGGGAGAGTAACTGAGGCAACAGCAGCACTCGTTGCTGCCAGAACTAGGCCAAAGCCCAGAATCCCTGTGCTTTCCAGAATGCCTCAGTCCACTCCCAGGGGCCCAGCAGGCATTTGGAAAATCTCCACTTTTTTTTTTTTTAATAATAAATTTTATTTTTATATTCCCCATACAATTGCAACCCCCTTATTTTGATCCCAATCCCTCCCCTCCCGCCCCCTACCCCCCATAGAGTGTCTCTGGTTTATAGTTTTTTGTTGATTTTGATTTTCACTTTCTTATAGTTATTCATTTTCCTGGTCCCTTATTTAAGTTTTCTAGATTCCTGTTATGAGTGAGACCATCCGGTATTTTTCTTTTTCTTTCTGGCTTATTTCGCTGAGCATGATCCCTTCCAGCACCATCCATGTTGCTGCAAATTGCATGTGTTTATCTTTTTTGAATGCTGAGTAATATTCCATGGTGTATATGAACCACATCTTCTTGATCCAGTCATCTATTTTTGGGCATTTGGGTTGTTTCCAAAGCTTAGCTATTGTAAACAGTGCTGCTATAAACATAGGGGTGCAGGTGCTCTTGGAATGGATGTTTCTGTGTCCTTTGGGTAAATACCTAGGAGTGGAATTGCTGGATCATATGGAAGCTCTATGTTTAGTAGGTCCAGAAATCTCCACACAGCTCTCCATAGTGGTTGGACCAGTTTGCACTCCCACCAACAGTGCAGGAGAGTTCCTTTTTCTCCACACCCTTGCCAACATTTGTTGTTGCTAGTTTTTTTAATATGTGCCATTCTCACTGGTGTAAGATGGTATCTCATGGTAGTTTTGATTTGCATTTCCCTGATTATAAGTGATGTTGAACATTTGGAAAATCTCCACTTTTGCTGTGTTGCCTAGCAGTGAATAATGCCTCTCCCCAAGTTCAATTCCATAGGAGGCATCGAGTCTTCCATGAGTCAGTACCAATCTACCTTCCTGGCCTTTCTCCTACCACTTCACCTAATATTCCAGCAAACTCTACTCCCATCAGCCTCTGGCTGGCTCAATTCCTCTGGGGCCTCCTTACTTGGTTCCCTTGTGCCCTGACGTTCTCTACGCTGCCCTACATGTCCAGGCCCTGTTGACCTGCTTCCCTCCCAACTTCATCAATCACTTGCTAACTCCCTAATCTCCAGCCTGAAGCACTCTCTTAAGCCTCAGACTCAAGTATCCCCATATTGATATATGGTATATATTGAGATATATCGGTATATCTCACACTCCTCCAACTCACTTCCAGCCTATTCTTCTGGTTGTTTCTGCAGCTGAACTAATGTGTCACCATCTACTCAGCCACTCGTGCCAGGCACCAGGGAGTCCATTTACATTTCTCTTTCTCTCTTATTCAGTCAGCTGAGTTCTGCGGTTTTGCTTCCTACGTCTTACATCCATCTTCTCCCTTTCCCTACTGCCACTGTCCCAGCCTAGGCCTGCAGCACCTCTTGCATGAACGATGGCTGTCGTGTGCCAACTGGTATCTATTCTTCTCAACCTTGCCAATGCGTTGTCTCAATTTCAAATCTAATCCTGCTCAAAACTACCTGTTGAGGACTTTTTTCCAGTTCCTGTAGTGCCATGTCCCAGCTTGTCATCATGGTGTCATGGTGACCTGGCTCCTGGCTCCTTCTCCAGCCTCATCCCTTGCCACAGCAGCATGTGCTCTGTAACCACCACCTGTGCCATGGTGTGAAATGTCTTTTCTCAGTGCTGTTCTTTTGCCCAACAGCTTCCTCCCTTGCTTCATCCAGCCACCTCTTAGTCATCCCATAGCACTCAGCTGAGGCAGCTAGCCTCCTCCCTAGGTCAGGTGTGATGAGTACCTCTGCTCAGACTCCCGTGCGCCTTTTGAGTGGCCTCTTTTACATTTGCACATCCTGCCGATATACATCTGTTTGTGCCTCTTTTCCCCAGGGGAATTCTTCAAGAGATTTTGTCTTGTTCACCTCTGTAGCCTTGGCACAGAGTCCAGGGCCTGGCAAATGGTAGGTGCTCAGGGACAAAGCCACTCCTCATTGACCCTAACAGAAAGCAAGCTCTCTCCTCTGTACCCTTTCTAGCGGGCTTTCTCTCTAGAGGTCTTCTCCCTCCTGCTACACTGTAAGCTTCTTTAGTACATTTCACTCATCTTTGAAACGACAATGCTAAGCCCAGTACTTTCTTGTAAAGTGTCTGAGAGAAAGAGTTCTTATGAAAACATAGGCAGGCCCAGCTTTCTCCTGGGTCCCACTGCTACCAAACCAGCAGAGGGAGCCTCACCCTGGTGGCCACAGCCATGCCTCAAATGCCACCCTCAGTTTGGGTCACAGATCATCCTGTGGATTTGAGAAGAGTCTGGGCTACTCACCCCCCAGGACCATGATCTTCTTACGTGTGTCCTCACTCAGGAAGGGTTTGACGAGGTTATAGGCCACAGGAAACAGCTTGGGGGCTGCAACAAAGAGCAGGCCACGTGAGGCTTGGGGCAGCATCCATTCTGCCCCAACAATGCCCCCCACAGCCTCCTGAGCCACTTTCTCTAATGCTGTGGGCCCGTGTGGGCAACCCAGGGCACCTCTTTGAGTCCCAGCTTCCCTGTCTGTAGGGTACAGTCAAGTGGGGTAGGTGGCTCAAAGGAGGTTATGAATGCTAAAAGCTTCGCAAATAATAAAGTGGTCCACATATGTCGAGGGTCGGTCTTCTGAATGTGTCCTTAGATCACCTCCTTTGTCTGACTCTATCGACTCTCCTGAATCTGTCCCAGGAAACTTTTTGGCTGCTCTTTCCCAACTGGCTTCATCACAGGTAGTTCCCATCTTACCTTTAATAACAAAAAGATGCTTCAGTGTTTCAGGATAATTTTCCTCAAACATGCAGAGAAACTGTGGAAACAAAATCACTGAGTCCTGTGGGCTCAGACCCATGTCCCAGGGCGAGGCCCTGCTCCCTCCAGGCTGATTCTGCCCCTATCACTTCTTCCATCCCACAGGGCACCTAGCAGAGGAACCCACTCCCCGTTCCACACACCTCCCAGCCCTGCCCCTGACCTCTCCATAGGCCTCCACAGCAGGCTTCCAGAGATGCTTAAGGCCAAGCCCCTCGCAGTCATAAATCAAGGTGATAGTTTCCACCTTCTTCCCCACCTGCAGGGGACAGAGGAGCAAAGAGTTGAATCAGGCCACCCCACTGCAGAAGCCCACCCCAATTCAGGGCAAATGCTGATTGCACCATGCACTCATAATGCAACTGGATCTAGACAGGACCACACCTAGGGTTTTCCAGTTGAGATAATCACCCCAGACCGGAATTGTGGTCTCTGTGTTCTCATCCAGTAAATGACTGGGTGGATCTAGGTTACATCTGAGGTCCCTCTGCTCTGCAGTGCGGCCTGGCAGCCTCCCTCCTCCCGGGTGCAGTGTGTGTAGTGCTTGGTCCATGGCCTGGCGTGGCCACTTACCTCCCAGGCCCGGTTGCTCCCTGTCCAACCTAAGCCCAAGCAAGTGTGCCCCCCTGCACCCCCAGCCTCTGCAAACACTAAGCTCTCAGTGAGTGTTTGTGGATGACAGTGTTGAAATGTTCCCAGATAGCGGCGTGGATCTTTACAGCTGCTAAAGAGGAGGGAAGGGGAGAAGATCTGGTGGCAGCTCCAGTTTGCTCTTCAGCCCTTTCTCAGTAGTGGGAGCAGAGGACCTTATCTTTCTCTGAATGAAGAAGCACAGACTCTGAGATCATCCACACCATTGGTACCCAAATACATGTCCAAAGATTGGGTGGTCCCTGACAAAGATTTCACTGGTGCCCAGATAATAAAGGAAAATGACAATAATGTACTATGTTTTTTGGAAGATAAATTGAGTCAATTTAAAGAACTGCCCTTTACCTCCCTGGTGGCGCAAGGGTTAAGTCGCAGCATTCCGAAGCTGCTGCCAGGGACATGACCCACATGGCGCAGCAGACCTCTCCTGTCTCTCCCGCTGCTCCCCTCAGCAGTGTATTTCAGTCAATCCACCTGTTCTGTTCCCCACTTTGTCTCTGGTGAATCCTCTCACCCCCTGCATCTCTGGCCTGCACCCTGCATAAATAAATAAATCTTTAAAGAACTGCCTTTAGTCTGAGATTATGCCATTTCTATAGTTTTGGGGTAAATTATAGCAATACCAGCTGGTAATATTTTTTAAATTCTTACTTGGAAAAATTAAAATTTGGCAACATTATGTCAGTCCCTACAACTTTGAAATTGCACTGGTCTATAAGATCCCAACAGGCCTCTTCCCTGAAGCTGTGCTTAAACTGTAACCCTGTGTGACCCTCTGCTCCTGCTTGAATACCTCTGCAGCGCTTCATTCATTTGCAACCTTGATAGCGCACTCGCCTTTTCTGTCTGGCGGACACACTCCTGCAGGAGCAGTTCGCAGTCCCGCATTTTGGTCTTGAGCAAGTCCTGTTTGGTAGCTGATAAGAGCAGCCCCTTGGTATCCAGGGGTCCGATGATGTCATACCAGATCGGGCTGCCTTCCAGGTCATAGCCACACATGCCCCCCGACAGATACTGCTGGACCACCTGAACAGTGACAATGAGGAGACACCCCGTCAGCAGGCTCAGGGGAGCCTCCCCTACCCGGTGCCCCTGGGTCATCTCTGGGTTCTCCCTCCACGTGGACACCCATTCTGGGAGCCACTGGGGCTCACTGGACATTGTGAGGGTTCCCATCTGATATACCCAGGGTACAGACTGCAGGTTTAATAGACCTTGCATGGGGGAGGAGGCATCATTTGTCCTCACCTCCGGAGGCTGCCAGCTTATGATGTTGTCAATATCCTTTTGCTTCCGGAACTCCGCATGCTGCGAACACACAATCAGGGCATTCAAAGAACAGGAGGTTGCAGCTTGACAGGCACCTAGTAATAGGTGACAGCATGAACAGACCCCCAGACCAACAGTGGGTCACAAAAAGGCAGCTGGCAGGGATGGAAAAGAAAGGCGCTGCCTATTTCAGAAATCTCAGCAGAACAGATGACCATTCTTGGCTGGCCCCGAACCGTGAAAGCTGTGTTTCCCGGGAAGGGAATGCATTTTGTCCCAGAGGGAGAAGGCAGTGATGGTCAGCAAATACTCTGCCATGTCATGCTAGCCAAGGGCGGTGGGGGGTGGGTGGGATGGATAAAAGAGGCCTGAGCATGGTGTGATTCTGATGGCCAGGGACGGAGCAGCAATGGGATTTGGAGCCAAAATGGATCTCACCTTCCTCAGCATGGCCTCAGACTTCTGCAGGTCGAAGTTTCTTGCTATAACAAGGAAACATGGTCAGGGTTAGGCCAGCAGACTGGGCATCAAAGGGCAGGGAGATTTCCTACTCCCGTGCTGGGGCTGGCTCTTCTTCGTCACCCCCACTGACTCTCCGGTCACCCACACATAGGAGTTCATATGAGAAGCTTCACTGAGGGCTCTTGGAGCTCCGTAGGCCCTGGGTCTGCTGGGAGAGCAGGTCAAGGTTCAGAGCAGGTGCAGGCAGCATTTGCATTTCAGGGTCAAAAGAGTTTTTACCCTAGTGGATGCAATCAGGTGATGGGTTTTATCTCCTCTCAGGGAAAGTGAACCCTGGACCCCCTTATCATTTAGTCTTTCCCTCATATAAAGTCAATCTCCTCCACAGTCCTGAGAACTTGCCGCACAGTTCAAAGATGAACGTAGCTGTCCAGTAATTTGGGGTAGAGCTGGCAGAACAACTCAGTAGGATGGATGGGTAGATGAGCCTCCAGTCAGCCTTGCCATCTCCTCAAAGGACCCGGGCGCACCCTAATGGGTTGCAGATCACCCTCCTCCCAGGCTTCCTGGAAAGTTTCAGCATCAAAGATCACCTGGGCCCAACAAGTTATCCTGCTCAGGCTTAAACACAAAGAGCTCACTGTCCTGCCCCACCTCCCCAAAGCCACCTGCTCCAGGATAATCAAGTGGCCATTTGCACTCAGTTCTCACTGTTAAATGAGCAGAGAGCCCCTCTACAAACACTCAAGAGTAAGGGGTGCGTCCTCAGTCATCTGACACCTACTGATACTAGCAGATTCTGACCTGCCACCTGGAGCGTCCCCTGCTGCTACCAAGTGGCTCATTCTTGGACCCTGTAACCAGTCCCCACAGTTTGGTTTCAAATCCATCCAAACAACTTCCCTTTGGCTGTTTTCCAGCTTGCCAGTGCCCCTCTCAAAGCGTGCTGTTGAGAGCTGAGCACAACCCCAGGTGTGGTCCACCCTTTTTCAGTAAAGCCTCAGAACTTTCTTGGCAACCGTCACACCCCTAACTCAGGTGGAGCTTACAGTCAACTGAAACCCCCAAATCCTTTACACCTGTGCTGCCACTAAGCCTCCATCCTATGTGTGCCGAGGTGGTTTTCTAGTTCCATCCCTATCAAATTCCATCTCGTTATAGTCAGCTTCATTTCATCCTTTAAAAAACAGTTGGGATCCAGATTCTGATCAATTGTGTCATCTGACCTATGAACCGTCGGTCCCAGCTGTGTGTCTTCTATGGATTTGATCAACATCGAGATCTGCTGACAGCCCTTGAACTGGGGCCAGAAAGGCTGCCCTCTGGACTGCCATCAGACCCTTAATCATTGCTCCCCGGGAGTGGCTGAGCACATTCCAGGAAGTCAATCCACTTGCCTACACCCAGAGGGTGCATCCGAAGATCCGACAGACACCATGCCCATCATCAGCTGACACACGTTGGCACAATTCAACAGCCTCACTCTTGGGAAGTTCCCTCTGACTGTCACCCCTTTCCACACCATCATGGCAGTGGGGGGCAGCTTTTAGAGGAACAAAATCTGGGCTTGCTTTTAGCTCTTCCACTTTTGACCTGTTTGGCCTTGAACAAGATACTGTACATCTCTGCTGAGTCCTCTAAGGAACTAGAAACACTTGGAAGACGCCTAGCAGTATCTCCTCCCAATGGGGAAGCCTAGGTGGACAGTGGAGTCTTTCACAGGTGGGGCACCCCTACTGGGAGGAGAACCATTATCTGTCTAGGGAACAGGAGTGGTAATGAACTGTGAGCCTTCTTATCTCAGAGATGCTCTCCAGTTAGCCTTTATCTGCCAGATCTTTTCCAAGAACCCATCCCAAGTCACCACTGGCCCCTGGCAGCACCAGGTACTGCCAGGTACCCAGCCTGCTAAATCAGGCCTTTCTAGGCCTCCTGCTGCTTGGCCCGGCCAGGGGCAGCTCCCAGCAGGACTCAGGGCACTACCAGAGTGGCTTCCCACCACCTCCTTGTTTTATCTTGCCATCGACCCTCCCTGGTGGGCTGCCCAGAGCTCAGCCCCAGTGAGTGGGGGAGAGTCTGGGGAGCTTGTGTACCTGCTCTCAAGGGCCGGGGGTTGAGGCCACATGGGAGGAAGGGAGAAAGAGTAGAACCCTGAGCTTACACCTAGGTTTGAGAAAGACATCTTGCTGGATGGCTTGCACCTTGCAATTCTTTCCTCTAGAATCAAAAGGAGAAAGAGAAAATATTTCTTTTTTTTTTTTTTTTTTTTTTATAGAGGCATGTTTTCTTTCTTTCTTTCTTTATTTGTTTGTTTTGTTTATACAAGCACTGGGTACAGTCAGAAGCACGGGAGGGTGAGAGAATTCACCAGAGCCAGAGCGGGGAGCAGAGCAGGCAGAAGGACCGAAGTACACTGCTGAGGGGAGCAGCGGGCGGCAGGAGAGGTCTGCGCGCCATGTGGGACCCTCCTCCTGTGGCCGGGGAGCAGCCGGGGATCGAACCGGGGCCGCAGAGGCCGCAGGCAGCTTCGCAATCCAGCGCTCAACCGCTGCGCCACCGGGGAGGCCCAAGAGAAAATATTTCTTAAAAAAAAAAATAATAAGGAAGAAGAAGAACCAAAAACCTAATTGAAATTCTTAGTAGACTCTGACCAGGCCGGAGATCCTGCCTAAGAAATGTGAGGCACAAGTCAAGTACAGACGAGACACTTCCTGTATTTGAAGAGACAGAGACTGGCTTCAGGGGGCAGCTCTGGCTTACTGGAAAGGATCTGCGAACCAGAAGCCTGAGGTTTCACCCCAATTCTGCTTTGCATTAGCTGTGTTCCTTCAGGTCAGTCCCCTTCCCTCTCTGAGCCTGTTTTCTGGCAAACAAGGATGACCACACTCTTCAGTGTTCAGTGAGCAGGGAGGTTGAGCCTGGGCGCGATCTTGGGGAACTGTCAGGCTTCATGCAAGAAGAGGGGGTACCCCAGGCTGGGGTGTTGGGGGTGTCTGGGAAGCCAGCTGCCAAGACCTTAGGCCAGCCTCCTGTTAATAAAAGGGAGCTGCTTGATTTCCAACAGCTCTCTGAAATCACGCGGTTCACCTAACAGCAGCTCCGGAGTGTGTCTGCTCAGCTTGCAGCTGGCCCTTTAAGGCGGCTGCTGCATCTTCCCACTCTCTCGCCACCCCCTCCAGCTACAGTCCTTTAGCAAATGCTGGGCCAAAATCTCCTCCAGACTTGGATTGGCTCCACTGCCACCCCCGCACCGCCCCTCCACCACCTTCTCCGGGTAGGCTGGGGAGGTGGGTTTGAAGCTGTTTGGGGGACTTCCCAAGGCACCCAGGGATCCAGGTGGCCCTCCTGGCCGCCCACACTGGAGTGTCTGCTAGCAATCCCTCTACTCACTTTCTGGACAGGAAAGGGACATGCACCTCCTCACAAGACCCAAGACTCCCAGGGCATGTGTGTGTGTGTCTGTGTCTATAAATAAAGGAGCACGATTTAGACCTTCATATTTTAGGGTATGAGTCTACCTCGCATCTTCATCTCTGCTAACCTAGCACAGTGGAATTTTCTCTATTATTTCTGTGTCTGGTAATAAAGTTTCTATAAAGAAAAAGTGTGTCAGAAGAAGCAGACAGGGTGGCACATGACTTGAATCACAGGAGAGGAAAAGAGAAAAGAACAGGAAGATCTCAGGTATTGAGGTATTGAGGCAGGGGGTTGAGTTTGACCCCGATGCGGGAGGGAATGGGTATATTTCATCACCACATGCAGGGCCTTGTCGTGTCACATCTTGCAATAGGTGGGGCACCCTGTCTCATCCTGCTCTCCCAGAGAGCACCCTGGGGCAGATGCTTGTCCCTGACCCATGTGACGCAGCCGGGGGTGGGAGGTGTGGTGGGCAGAGCTGGAACCAGATCTCAGGGTCTACAACCTGATGGTGGTTCGAGGTGAGTCTTATCAACAGAGGTCAGGTCAAACACCCCCCCACCCCGGTGTTCCCCAAGCACACCACTCTCCCTAGAGCTGCCTAAACTGCTGGCAGCAGAGGTCCTGCCACTCCAACCAGCCACAGAGGGGCCAGCATCTCCCAGGGGCCACAACTCTGCTTGTAAACCAGCCTCTGACTTCCCACATGGCTGGATTTTTCCTCCACCCATCTGCAGAGTGGATTTATGGGGTGAATGGAAAAGGTGCTGACCTGGGAGCTGGCCCTCCCTCTGCCTGCAGCTCAAGCACTGTGGGACTTGGGGGGAGTCACTTCACCTCTCTGAGCCTCAGTGTCATGATTAGCCCGATAGGAGGGTTGAGATGATGGAACTGCAAGGGCCCTCTCGCCTCTGAAGGTCGAATACTCCAGATGCTCTGATGGCCGGGGCAGGGTTTCCAAAGGCTGCCATTCTGTTACCCAGAACAAGTCCTTGCCCCAGCCCCCCAAACCCCCTCTTCCCTCACCTCGGAGCCAGCGCAGGAGAAAATAGTCATCTGGGTTCGGCAGAGTGGGCAGCACATCCTGGACATTCTCCCGAAACTGTAGGGAGAGGCAGCTGGGTGAGTGGCAGGTCCTACCCTGACCGCCCTCTGCCCCAGACTCTCTGTAAGGGCTTTTGCTGGACCCTCTTCACACAGGTCAAGGCTGCAGACACCAGCAGAGCTTCGTGGGGCACTCTCCTGCAGGTGGGAGGCGGGGGGCGGGGAGGAGGTGGGAAGGGAGTAAGTCACTGCCCCTGCCTGACTGTGCACCCGCGCCTTCCGCATGCCAACAGCGGGCAGGCAGATGTACTCCCAGCTCACGGTGATCACAGACACTCTGGGCCGTGCCACAATAAAAGCTGTCCTTTTCCCAAGCGTTCCCTGTGTGCCAGCACTGAATTGGCACTTATCTTATTCACGCCTCACTCAGAATGCCTAGAGGTAGTACTGTCCCCATTTTATAGATGAAGGACTGAGAGCTCAGAGAGGCTAAGTAACATGCCCAAGGTCAAACAGCCAGTAATCAGCAGAGCTAGGATGCTAACCTGAGTCTGTCTGAGGCAGAGCATGCCCCCTCCACAGTGGTCTTGGCCCCCTTAGTAATTAGACTGGTGAGCAATGAGCTGGGGACTGACTGGAGCTAGTAAGAGGGTGGTCCCATTTGACTTCATAGAAAAAAGTGGCATTTGAACTAGGCTTGCACGGACTTCAAAGGCAGCAGGAGGAGGGACCAGGAAGGGGGAAGCCACGAGGAGGGAAAGTGCAGGAAAGCCAAACAAGAGGTGGACAGTGACCCCAAGAGATGGCCACACCTCCAACTGCTCACTACGCTGTGTGCACAGCCCCCCCAAAGTGCCCTGCTCCCAGTCACTCACCTTTCCCTAGTGCTGACCTATGACATCCATCTCTGCCCCTTGCCTGGGTCAGCTGGCAACTCAGTCCATCCCCCAAACAACTCCCAGAGCCCCAAGGAAACTGCTCATCTAGGGCAAGATGTGAAGCCACCTCTCACCAAGGACCAGACCCAGACCCTGGTTTCCAGTTTAATCACCTCCTAATCCCTTCTCTGCCTGACTTCCCCTGCAGGTCAGCAGTAAAATCTGAAGCCTCTGTAGCCTCCCTGGGATAAGGAAGGCCCAGCAGTGTCTAGGCCTCCCCGGAGGCAGTAGGAGACACCGCCCCCCACTCCCACTCCCTTTCCCAGCAATGGAAAACTCCTTGACACTAGACCCAGTCCCTGGCTCCAAGAACAGTCAACCTCCCCTCTCCCCAGGGGTGACAGTTGGCTGGGAGGGGTCCAGCCCAGGAACTGTTGTCCCCCTCCTTGGCCCAGGTGCCAAGGCAAAGCCAGGCTTATCGCTCAATCTCCTGAAAAGCGTCCGCCCAAGTCCCCAGCCAGGGGAGGAGAGAGGAGCGCTGGCCTCAGCTCAAACTCACCCCAACCCAGTGAGTTGTGGGCAGGATCCTAGACTTCACAGTTGGAAGTGCTCCCTTAGGCAGCATCTGCCCAATCTCATTTCATGCCATCAAGGAGCCAACAGAGAAGGACAGATTCTGTCCAAGGTCACAGAGCGACTTGGGGCCTAAGCAGGGGCCATCCAAGTACCAGAGGAGCTGTCCAGGGCCCTTGCCATCCAGCCACTGACCGGGTGAGAGGAAAATCTCCCGGAAATGGGAGGAAACCTGGGGCCCTGCCCCCCAGGGCCCCGCTGCCAGTCTGGAGAATGAATGTTGCCTTTGTGCCCTCAGCTGCCTACCAGGGCTTCCAAGCAACCACTTCTTCCCAGGTGGCACCGCCAAGGGCTCCTTCAGCGCTGGGACCCGGGCGGCCAAACTTCCCAGGGCCCCCTCGGCGGGCGGAGGGAGGGAGGGAGACAGGCCACCGGGCGGGGGGCGCCAGGTGCAGCCGGCTGCAGCCGCCGACCGCCGGCCGAGGACCGTGGCGCGCCCCCCGCCCGGTCCCATCCATCGCCGGCGGCCGCTGGGCGAGGGCCACGGCCAGGGCGGGGGCCGGGCGGGCGCGCGCTCACCTTGTCCAGTAACTCCTTCTGCTTGGGGCTCAGGTCGCCCACTCTGCCGCTCATCCTGGCTCGAGCTCGGGGCGCTGCGACCGCGGCGGCTGATGGAGCGTGGACTGGGCTCGGTCTCCGGCGCCCGAGTAAAGTCCCAGCCTCTGCCGGGGCCGCAGGGCCGGCGGCCAAGCCCCGCCTCTTAAAGGCTCCGGGGAGGCGCGGGGCGAGATGTGCGCCGGGCGCGGGAGGCTCCTGCGCGCGTCCCCAGCGCCCTGCTGAGGCGGGAGACCTGGCCAGTGAGCCTCAAGGGAGCAGGAAATCTGGGTTCTGCTCCCGCATTTATCCGTAGCTCACAGTGTGACCTTGCACGACTCACCTGAGCTTTCTGGGCCTTAGTTTACCCACCTAGAGGCTTTCAAAGAGTTTTTCGAAGATCAGCCCCCCCAGAACGTAGAACTTCTGCCCCTCCTTTTGAGATGGTAGGGAGCTTGCTTGGTGTCACTGTGTGCGGGTGGGGTGAGGGGATTTGAGGGGAGAACAGTGGTTCTGGCTGTTTCTTTCTGGGACCTTCTGGCTCTCCTCCTGTTCTGCCATCAGTTTTGAACCATCATGGCTGCCAAGCCCAGTGTGGACCCTTTTCAGTGTGGACAGCCTTTCCCGGGCAGGCAGGCAGAGCGGCAAGGAAGCACAGACCCCCATCTCCCCAACCAGGGTCCCATCTCCTGCATCTAACCTTACCAGTCTCTGTGTGTCCTCTAAGGTGTGATACCTTCATGGTGGAGCTGGCCTGGAGGACTGCTTCCTCTCTGCAGCTGAGTCCTAAATCCTCCTTCTTTCTGTGCAATTTCACCTGTCTGGGTTGCAGCTTCTTTGTTCACTAAATGGAGGTGAAGAATGTGGACTTTAAGACGGACTGAGAGAATAGAGAAGCTAATGTTCATAATTCCCTCAGTGCAGTGCCTTGCCTCATACAGGGTTTGCTTTGAACAGAGTTTGAACTCCCTACTTCATGCTGTACAGCCCCCACTTTGCTGCCTGTCTGGCCAGGCTTTCTAGTGCGGGAGATGCAGGGTGGACGTGGAGGAAACCACAGTGAAAGTGGTGGCCCAATGGAAACAGGTCTGCTATCAGCTTATCTACTTCCCCTGCTCAAGCCCAAGGCCAGAACTATGGATTCCAGCCTCACAGCAAGTCTGACCTGGGAGATAGATGCCCAGCAACTGCAGCCCAGCCGCCTCCTGGGCCATCTAATTGTCCTGCATGCCCCAGTCACAGCCCCTTGCCCACACAATGAAGCCTTTTCCTCCTCTCAGAACTTAGCAGTCCTCTCCCACACCCCAGCACCTCCCCAGCTCTAATACACCCCTGTGGGTGCAGCTGCCCCATGCCTGCCACTATGACAGGGCCCTAAGCTCTGCTCTGGGGACCCTGAAATGAAACAAACACCATCCTGCCCTCCCAAAGATAAGAGACAGACATCACTACCTAGAATACATGAGCAAGAGATAATGTCCCAGGGAGAGGCAGCAATTTCCTGGGAGATTAACAGAGGTAACATTTGTTTTGGGTGGGAAGAATTCTAGAACGTTTCATGGAGTGAGTGGCATTTTGGACTGGACCTTAAAATGTAGGGGTGGAAAGGAGATTCCTTGTTCCACGTTGGAACAATTGCACAAGTGGTTTTGGTGGATGATGGGAAGTGTGACTGCAACCAGAGAGGAGGGGGGAGAAGGAGCAGGCGGGGAGTACTGGCAGAACTTCGACGTGTCCCTGCTTAGTAGCGTCTACCTTGCTAGACTATGAGGTCCATGGGTATGGGGCCATGTGAATCCCTACAAACTTCCTGTGTGCAGCATTCTGCACACAGGGGCTGTTCAAAAAATATATGCTGGATGAATGAATGAATGCACAAATGAATGCATGCGTGCATGAAAACATTGCTCCAATGTGTAAGCACAGAGCCAGGGGAGCCCTGGAAAGAGACAGAAACATAAATGGTTCAGAAATCAGACAGCTTTGGAAACTGAGCCCCCCCCCCAAAAAAAAAAAAGGCATGACTTGCCCAAAGGTGTGACAGGTGTGGAAAAGAGCCTGGTCTGGCACATGGAAGGTGCTCAGTCACACTCTGGAATGCACGCAGAGCCAGGCCCAGGAAGCTGTGGGCATCGGACCTCTCTGAACAACTCTGGGCCCACCTCCACACTCAGGTCTTCAGGGGAGTAGAAAGCAGAACACCTCAGCATTTCTGGGGCAGAAGGCAGGAGCAGGCTGCAGCAGACCCATTAACAATGCTTAGAAAGCCTTGGTTCTGCCCCTGCCATGGCCCCCACCACAAAGTCAGCTACACAGCACAGAGTGAGGGTTTCAGTGCAGCTCTGTGGCTGAGGAAACCTCCAACCACCACCTCTGTGAAGAGTTTTCAGGAAGTCCCAACAGCGTTGCCCTAATTAAAGAATTACTGGCTTCTGGCTCAGGGCAGGGCCTGGCTGCCTCCCTTGCTGGATGCATGGCTTTATTTAAGACCCTTCCAGAAGCAGGTTGTTCTTGACAGTATAGAGCTTACTCAAAGAAAAATAGAACAGCGCTTTATGTTGGTTCAGCACATTACAGTTTATAAGCACTTTCAGATCTAGATTTTTCATCTAAGCTGGTAAGCCTCTAAGGTGGGCAGGTCAGGTGATTTACTGAGGAACCTGAGGGAGAGAGATGGTTGAGTGAGAGCGTGTGCAGAGTTGGGACTTGGACCCAAGTCTCCGGCTTTCCGCTACTCCCAGGTGCCGGGGAGTTGGGGTGTGGATTAGCCTGGGAGCTACCTACACAGGCTGCCCAGAAAAGCACAAGAAAAACATTTACCCAGCAGGAAACAGCCCCCAGACCCAAGCAACCTCTGCACCCCCAAGTCCCCAGGAAACTGGCGTTGCCTAAGTAGAGTGCCCTTCCTCCAGTTGGTTCCTCCCAGGCCCTGTGGCTGGCAGCTTCTCCTTCCTTCACCGAAAGTTAACCACCGCTGGCCCACTGTGGAGCAACAAGTTAATCTGATAATATAAATGCTAGACAAATAATCTGGTAAACTCCTGTCCAGCGATTACCAGAAGCAAGTCCTCCTTCTCATCCTCACCTTTTCTCTCTCCTCCAAGGCCAATCTCTTGGTTCTCCCTCCCTGATAGGTGTGTTGCTTCCTCCTTCAGGAATCTGCAGTTTTGATTTGCATTTCCCTGATGACAAATGATGTTGAACATTTTTTCATATGCCTGTTGGCCATTTGCGTTTCCTCTTCAGAGAAGTTTCTTTTTAGCTCTTCTGCCCATTTTTTGACTGGATTATTTTCTTTGTTGTTGTTGAGTCTCATCAGCTCTTTGCAGATTTTTGTGATCAGTCCTTTATCATGAGTGTTGTGTGCAAAAATGTTCTCCCAGTCGGTGGGGTGTCTCTTTGTTTTGGTTACTGTCTCTTTTGCTGTGCAGAAGCTCTTTAATTTGTGGTCTCACTCAAAGCAGGAATTTAGAAAACCTAAAAAAGGGACCAGGAAAAAGACTAATTATAATAAAGTAAAAATCAAAATCAACAAGCAACTATAAACCAGAGACACACTGCAGGGGGCAGGGAGGGGAGGAGGAAGTAGCATCAAAACAAGGTGGGTGGATTGTATGGGGACTATAACCACGATGAAAATGCATGCATTGTGCAAAAATGAAAAATGATTTTAAAAATATATAAAATAAAATAAAAATGCTCAAAAAATAAAGAAGCATTTAAATGAGAAAAAAGAACTGACATAATTTCTCAAATTGTAAATAATGTACTTTCATTGTAAAAATGTAAGCTTACATTTTTTAAATTGTAAACTGTTTGATAAATAACTCATGTTGAAGAAAAAAAAAAAAAAAAAAGAATCTGCACTGGCTCCCTCGTCCCTTTAGGAACCAGCCCAATTTCGCTGACTTGCCGTCAAAGTCAAACCCATCTCAGCCCAGCATCCCTTCCCCCTCCCCCACACAGCCACCCCTCCCCTCCACACACTTCCACTTCAGTCAGAGAGTTCCCTGCTGTCCTGCAGACTCCTCTGCTCTCCCGCCTGTCATTCTCTCCTGCCTCCTCCTACCAGACCTGCCCCAGGATTCAATGTGCTGATCAAAAGCTGTTTCCAGGAATCTCTCCACCACACAGTGCCTCTCTCTCCTGACTTTGACACTGACTACTTTGTATTGTAGTGGTGGCTGTCAGGGACCAGCCTGGCACAACCAGAAGGGCCCAGCACCCTCCCCTGGGGGCAGGTAGACCTGGCCTCTTGCTGGCTCTGTGGAGAAGGAAGCAGCAATGCAATGGTCTGGGGAATTGGCTAGGGTTTAGATTCTTCTCAGCAGTGGCTCCAGTGCCAGGCAGGAGCACTGGGCTGGGAATCCAGATTCTGGACTCTATTCTTGAGTGAATGTATTGCACTGGCTGCAGCAAGGTGCACAGTGGGGGCCTCCTCTGGGCTTGGCCTTTGGGCCTGGATGCCTCCTGTTTTTTAAGGCCACTGACCTCAAGATCAAAGGCCCCGAGGGGCCCTGTCCTCCAATTCAGTGGTGCCACCGGGAAAGGGGTGGTACAGCGATTGGCATAGTGATTTGAGAGTCAGAGAAAACAATTTTTTAAACCCTTCAACAAATATTTGTGAAACACTCTACTTCCACGGGACCAGGGCAGCAGGAACTCTCTGGACAGCCCTTATGCTTGCAGGCGGCAGAGCAGAAAGGCCTTGTCTCGAGCCTCCTTCTGTCCTCCCAGCCCTGCCATATTGGGCTGGAGTCCTTTTCTGACAAGATGGGAAAGGAATGAAGGCACCCACACTCCCTGGAACTGCCTGGAGGGAGGTGCCCGCAACAGATGAGGAAGCAAGAGTGACAGTTTCTGCCCTCGGGGTGGCCAGGGTTCCAGGCCTGACTCTCAACAAATGTTTGTGCAGTGGGCATGGTGCCAGGCATGGGGATGCCTCAGAGGACCAGGCCGACCAGGTCCCACCCTCTAGGACCTGTCCCAGCCCACAGAGGGACAGCCAAAGCAGCAGGTCACTCCAGTTCAGGTGGCCAGTGCCACCGCGGAGAGGACCAGAAAAGGGAGTCTCCCCTCAGTGTATGTGTGTCGGGGTGGGGGTGCTCCCAGTTTCTCTAGAGACTGGAGGAGTCCGGCA